CACTGCATGAGAGCCTTCGATGCTCTTGAGGACATCATGATAGCCACTCCAAACTCAGTGTGCTCGTGGTTGTCGTCTGGGTGACCGGAGTAGATTATTGATTCTCCAGTTGACAGTTTGGAGAGTCCACTCCGATTCCATCTGCTTTCGCAAATCCCAAGCACTTCGATGTGATACCTTCTCATCTCCTTTGCAATCTGGGCTGCCTTACTGGGTTCAAACATCGTGCGGACATTCCATGTCCCCACGTTTACTTTCGCTTTCATCGAGAGAGAAGACACATCGGCCAATTGGCTTCCCGAAGGCTTTCACCAACTGGCGTCATTTCGCCTCTCCGATTCCAGCGGGGAATAAGTTTGTTTTCATTTTTTATATTTTGTTTGTGCTTTGAAGTTTGTTTAGCGGTTATATTTGTTTTCTGGGGTAGGGTTGCTAGCCCTATGCCCAACCTTCCCTCTTTATGTGGGCTTAGGACCGGCTAGTAACTAGTAAACTAGTTAACCAGGCGAGGTTGTATTGTGATCCTAACCGACTACAAATGGGTTACAATTTGTACAAACTAATCCACTGATCCTATTTCAAGTTCAGTTCTTTCTAGACGAGTAGAATGTAACCAAGAGTTATACAGCAATGCCTTTTGAGACTAAATCTTCACATCTAGATAACGATGTATGCCACTGTCACTCGTCCACTATGAAGTATATTTACAAACTTCTTAATGTGAAGTACTAGTATTGCTTTTTTTATGCTCCCACTAGTTAAATCTTTCGTACCACTTATCTGAATGCTCGATGATGAGAAACTCAAAGACCTTTTACTACGAGAGCCAGATAATAATATTTCATAGTGTATTGAATGAGCTATTAATGCCTTTTTTAAAATTGGAATCCATCATGGAATGACATCAGTTGGAGGCACATTGGAAACCTGGAGGCACTGGACAGCTGTTTTATCCCAGTATGAGATTCCTCAACAGTGCGCACCCATGGCTCTTCCCCTCAAGGCATCGAACCCAGGACCTTCAGGTTCCATGACCAGTACGTTACCATTGACTCACTGGGTTGGAATTCAATCGCCCGGACGGAGTCATGGGTGGGCAGTACTGAGGAGTCCCGTGCTAGGACGAAACAGGTGTCTAGTCCTCCCAGTTTTCCAATATTCCCTCAACTGATGTTAGTTCATAATGAATCCCATTTTAAAATCAATCAATAAACCTCAATATAGTATTAGTCTATTAGTTAAATTGTATTATTATTATTTGTCCCTTAGGTTGGAACATAGGATGGAACATAGGGCTTCAGTAGCACGCCTCCATTGTACTCCATTCTCTGCAGTCTTTTGAACCTCGCTCCATGACTGCCCACAATCTTTCATTTCTTCATCACACCATCTCGTCCATGTGACCCTCTCCTCGGACTCCCGACTCGTCGTTTCCCATCTGGGTTCCATTCGAGTACCTGGCCGTGGCTGCACTGCTGGTGGTATTTGTGGACTAGTTCCAGGTGCTGGTGGTGGTGGTGGTGGTCGACTCAAGAGATTTTTGAAGTGGTCAGCCCATCGTCTTCTTTGTTTCTCCTCTCTGGTGGTAACCAAGTTCCCTTCACTATCTCTGATTGACTTCTTCTGAGTTGATCTCTTCCCTCCCAGATAGTAAGTAACCTGGTTATTTGATATGAAGTTGTCAGGTCTGTGTCTCTCCTACCAGCAGCCTGTTGTGCTTCACTTGCCAGTGTGTCGTAGAAGTGTCTTTTGTCTTTGCGCGTACTCTTCTTCCCTTCTTTGTCTGGTGTAGTGATTTATAAGTTGTGTTCAGTTCTTCTTTTCGTTGTTCATCCATGCAGTGGTTCATCTTCTGCTTCACCATCCTCCTCTCCCTGCTTTATCAGCTTCCATGTGTCAGTGGAGACCGATTCTTTATCTACTTTCTTCCTTCCTAACAGGGTTATGCAGGTTTTTTTTCACATAGCTTTCAAAGAGCTCCAGTACTCATCCATACAGATTTCTTAAGGGATTCTGCTCGATACCTCCCATTTTGTTTTGACGCCTGACGTGAAGATTTCCTTTGCACTTTCGTCCTTCAGTTTCCGAGTGTTTTACTTGGACTATGGTCTATCACCAACTTCCTTTAAGGCTTTCAATTCGATTTGGAAGGTTTCTTGCACTAGATAGTGGTCTGAGTCTACATCGGCTCCCCTACTTGACCTTGTGTCCAGTAGGCTGCGTCTCCACTTTCTTCAAATTGAGATGAAGTCGATCTGACTTTTAGTGTAGTGTGTCCTGGTGTCTGGTGAAGTCCATATCGCTTTGTGTATATCCTTGTGCTTGAACACAGTGCCTCCAATCACCAAATCGTTGAATGCGCAGAATTCTGCAAACATTTCTCCATTCCTGTTCATTTCACCGAGTGCTTCTTGACCCATGGTTAGTTCTCTTCTTGTGTTGTCCGCTCCGAATTTGACATTCATATCGCCCATTAGAATTTTGATGTCGCCAGCTGAGGTTTTGTCCAGTGTTGATTGCAGTTGTCTGTGGAATTCCTCCCTCTTCTCTTCATCTGCATTATTTGTGGGTGCGTAGTGTGGCACTGTATGATTGTGACTTCCCTTCCCTTTGGGTTGAACCTTGCTGTTATGATCCTGGAGGAGATTGGCTCCCACTGTATAAGAGCCTGCGATGCTCTCGGAGACATCATGATAGCCACTCCCTCCGTGTGCTCGTGGTTGTCGTCTGGGTGACAACATCGGAGTAGATTATTGACTCTCCAGTTGATAGTTGGGAGAGTCCACCTGCTTTCGCAGATTCCTAGCACTTCTATGCTATACCTTCTCATCTCCTTTGCAATCTGGGGGGCCTCACTGGGTTCAAACATAGTGCGGACATTCCATGTCTCCACTTTTACTTTCACTTTCATCGAGAGAAGACACATCGGCTAATTGGCTTCCTGAAGTCTTTCACCGACCGGCGTCATTTCGTCTCTCCGATTGCAGAGAGGAATAATTTTGTTTTTATTTTTTTATATTCTGTCTGTGCTTTGAAGTTTCTTTAGCGGTTGGTTAAATTGTACTCATTCAAAATTTAACGCACTGTAAGCAGCTGATTGAGTTAGAGTCTGATGATTGTCCGATATTTAGCAGTTTGCAAAATATTCTAATGAATGTATTAAGTCCGTCATCGGTCGTATTACATTACCTCCCACACCACTGTAAATGGATTTTTAGGCGGAGTTCATTGGAAATCGGCAATCTTTGCAATTTTGTTCAACATACTGAATATTTACTTGGTTTTGGCTGGCAGAGGAATCCAGGACGCATGTTTCGTCCTATTTCGGACTCGTCAGCTTGATGCACCTGCATCCCAGTGAGTGGTGTTGCTTCCATTGGGACTCGAACCTCATACTCACCGCTTCAAACGCCAAAGCGTTATCCACTGGGCCACTGATGCATGATTGCCATCTCTTGTACAACGCGTATTAGTTATAACTATTTGTTGGTATACTTGTAATTCTCTGTTTTTGTACTGGATCTAATTGTTCGACCTCTGTTAACATATGGGCTCCTATGCGGATGCCCAAGTAAATTACCATAATAAATATTCAGGCAATATTTACTCATATGCATAGGAGCCCATATGCCGACAGAGGTCGAACAATTCGATGCAGTATAACAACAGTGAATTACAAGTATATCAACAAATAGCTATACTGAATATTGTTGGAAATTGATCATTCGACTACTCATTTTTATACCTGTACATTCGAAAATAGATAAATACAATGATAGAATTTTCTCTTTACCGTGGTCTTATTTATGTACTATCTACCTTCGTTTATATTTCATTTCGTATTGCATCTGTTTATCATCTTATCTACATATTTCATCATTATGTTCATTTATTTATATTTACCAGATATCAAATCTTACTGTTCACTGCATTTCATAAAAACTATTGAGATCATGTCTTGTGTTGCATAATATCATTCCATTCCCTGTATACATCTACTGGTTAAGCTTGATCTTCGACCGGAAACTTGACTCGAACATTCTATCATTTTATTTGTCTGCTTATTTATGAATGTACAACTGTGAGAATGACTGGTCCAAAAGATAATTATCTTCACTAGAACTTCTTTCCGTACTTCAGTGACTAAATGTGGATTCTTCCTTTTTTTCAATGAGTTGTTTATACGTTAGTGAAGTAGGGCGCAGATTGGCCTATTGACGATTTCTCATGTAAGCATTTGGTGAATAAGTTTCGACATGTTATTTGCAATTTCATTGGTCAGTGAACGGCTAAAGAAATGGGTAACCTCAGTAAAAACAACATCACTTACTGGGGTGCAGGTACATCCAGCCGAAAAGTTCCAAATAGGAGGAATCGCTCGTTTGGATTCTGCTAGTCACCGAAATCGAAATGGGTAGCTAATTAGTTAGTCATCATTTATTTTTATTGTCAGCTGTCTGCTTTCTGATTGGTTCATGCAGTCTTATTCATCGTTGCTGGATTGGCTAATAGAATCTTAATACCTGTCTACCACACTATCTGTTCAGAACGCTGACAACTATATGCCATTTGTATACAATCATGTCTCGTGTCTGCTTGGCCTTCCTTGTTTTCTTTAGCATACTGATTTTTATATCGCTGTTATCCTTATGCTTACTGCATCCATTTATTTCTTTTCTAATTAGCAGACAGACGCGTCTTGTTCCAGGATCTACTATGTATCCAGAATGGTTAGAACCTTCAGTCCCTGTTTATGCACAATTTTATTTCTTCAATCTAACGAATCCAATCGAATTTCAAGCTGGTCAAAAACCCTGTGTACAACAACTGGGACCGTATACATACCGTGAAAAGCGTATGAAAATCAATATTTCAATAGATAATGAATTAATCAGTTATCGAGAAATCAGACAATATTATTTTGATGCAAATCTCTCAAACGGTACAGAAATGGATTTAATTACGGGTGTAAACTTAGCCTTATATCGATTGCAGCTAAGATGAATTCTGTACCGTGGTTTATTGATCGAATAGTGGAACAGATAGAGAAATACTTTCACGATGGTTTAATATTAACAAAAACTGTAAATGAATTGTTGTGGGGCTATGAAGATGAATTTTTAAAAGCTTTATCGAAAATTGGACTAGCAATACCGACAACACATATTGGCTTACTAATGAATATTAACAATACAGTGAGCGATTATGTTACAGTTGATAATGGTCGAATCAATAGTAGCATGGTTGGTCAAATAGTTAAATTTCATGGGAATGAGACATTATCCTATTGGACAACACCAACTGCTAATATGATTAACGGTTCTGACGGTACAATATTTCATCCATTCATAAAGAAAGAAGATAAACCTTACATCTTTTCTGCAGATATCTGTCGTTCACTACAATTTATTGCTAATTTAACGACTCAGATTAACAATTTACCAGTCATTAAATTTATACCAATGCCCGATACATTTAAATCACCAAAAACATATGAAAAGAATAAAGGATTTTGTTTAAATTGGCCTGATTGCTTTGATGACGGTGTCTTAGATATGTCATCGTGTCAACCCGGTTCAGCTGTGGTAATGTCGCAACCGCACTTTTTAAATGTAAGTTTCAGTGATTTCTTCCTTGTTTTGTTTCATCAGCTGGATTTATTTAGCCAGAACTAGTTATGGCAAAATACATCTACCTTGGTGCTGGTGCCTCAGTGGTCTGGTGGTTAGTTCTCTGGCATTTGAAGCGATGGGTACTAGGTTTGAGTCTCAGTAGGAACAACACCACTCACTGGAGTGTTGGTACATCCAGCCAGCAAGTCACAATTAGGACCAGACATATGTCATAGATTCTACTACTAGTCACCTAGATGAATACGACATTTGAATATCCAGCAGTAGCAATTCATTCTCATACGAGCCTATCTGCTAACAGAGGTCGAGAAATTCTACCCAGTATCGCAACAGGAAATTACAAGTATCGAATGACAGTTTAGAGACTTTTTTCTCAGCCAATGACTTTGCATCCAACCGTAATTTCCTTCAACTTCAGTAAGTGAGTTGTATCATCATATAACATACAAACAAATTCTTACTAGTTGTTTTCCGTATTCGTAACCAAACATAGAGTATTGTCTACATACCACAAATGCTTTATATAGCCGTTAGACTATTGACCCAGTGAAACTCCTGTGGCCCATTTTCGAGTTCTCTCACATACGTTTGTGAATGTATGTGTTTCAGTGTTCTATTGAGTGTTAATATCGAGTAAGTAAAGCCTATATGAAGCAAATAGCGTTACACATTATGTAGTGAAATATTCGTGTATATTTTTAATTTAAACAGCGAAGAAAACGTCGAAGTAAAATGATTACTAGAATAAAGGGAATTTTCTGTGTAGTAATATCACTGAGTTAAGTTGGACAATTGTGTGTGTAATTATGTAATTCATCTGCCTCAAGGTCAGTCTGCTTCGTGGATTCACGTCAGTTAGATAACCCGTGAAAATCGGAGGGTACTTCAAAATCGTTTTGTCTTACCCTGAAAATCCTTAGTACTGCACACCTAAGATCACTCTGGGGACCATCCGAAAGCCTCTAGACCATTTCATTATCTTTTTAGTGAAGGTGTATCTCGGTGAATTAAGGCTAGTGGTTCCTGGCTGGCTAAAAGGTTATATTATATGCCTTTAGGTAATGAATTTGTCTTATAACCTAATATGTAAACGCCTACACCAGACTGAGCAACAATGCTTTTATCATTATCAATACACCACTAAGTTAAGGTGAAACGAACTGATTTTTCAAGTCGGTAATATCTAGAAAATAATCGAGAACCATCCATCCGCATACTCAATTGCCCTGACTACACAAATCTCTACCCTGAATGATGTGAATTCCTCATCAGCAATTAAATCAAGTTTCTGTAAAACACATTGTCTTAGATGAGGTAGACATAATCAAGTGGAAAAAGTTCAAAATCTTAACTGGGTTTCCATCTTAAGACAAAAATGGTCAAAGAACAATTTGCTTTTTGGTAGACACTAGCAACGATTGTGGGCATGAGGGTAGTACTAAGGAAACTATAGTAAATCTTCACATTCTAGTTCCATCCCGGTGTCACTATTGAAAACATTAACTCGCTCTAATTATTCTTCTTCTGAAAACACTTACTGTGTTGAACAGTTGTAGCACTAAAGGCGAATAAAGAGAACATATTACTGTTCGCAAGTCGGGTTCCGCGTACCGGTCTGGTCTGGGTCCTGCAGGGAGATGTAGTCCGCCTGGTTGGGGTTCTTAAGATGAGGAGTCTTGGTTACATGGTTGAAAATCCGTCACTATAGTGCACACGTATTCACTTTTCTTCATATTCTGAAGCTTGGGTTTTCTCACTAACCCTTATCTTCAAATTGTTTGTTATCTCAAACAACTTCATCTACTTGGATATCACTCTTGTTCTATCCATGTGTTGACTGGAGGATGTTGCTTGCGTCAGCTGTTCAGTGCTTCTGAATTCCCAGTGGTTCGCTAGATGAAGATGATGTATTATTACCATATAATTATTTTCCCTTAAGCTTCCTAGTGGGAAAAAGAGATTCAGTAACACGTCACCATTTCACTCTCTTCTCCGCAGTCTTTCCAATCTGACGACACCACTGCCCAGAAGCCCTCATTTCTTCCTCACACCAACTCCTCCATGTCATCCTCTCCTCGGACGCCTAACTCGTCGTTTCCCATTCGGCTTCCACTCGACGGTCTGGCTTGGCGCGTGATGTCCTCGAATAGCCTCCTCAGTTTATGCCAAATCTATCTCCACTTCGTTGGACGATAGGTTGCTGGTTGGTTCGTTGCCAGCCAGAGTGAGTTCCTTGCCGCTTGTTCTTATTATTCCGACCATCTGGTCTTCAGTATCTAGCGAGCGTAGGCGGCAGCTTTTGATAATGCATGTCTGTAGTTTGTTGTTGTTGTTGTTGTTGTTGTTGGTGGTGGTGGTGGTGTTGGTTGGGTATCTTCATCACCTCTGTCTTCTCCACGTTCACCTGAAGGAGATCTCGTATTCGCTACCTCGTCTCCTCTGTCAACTTGTTAGTTTTCGCCTGTAGATCTTCGAGTTTGTACGACAAGACATTAAACATAAATCATCGTCGGCGAAACCCAAATCTTCTAGACTCCCTTCATCGGTCTGGCCAGCGTATGCCCATCTTCTCACAGCTCCTCACAGTCTCTTGCATGATCCAGTCCACTCGAGTCGACCACAACCAGGAAGATCATCTGTGATAGTAGGTGGCAACCTTGTCTTACTCCTGTATTCACTTCAAAGGCATCTCTGAGCTTTTCACTGCCAATCACTTGACTGGCATGTAGCATCATCGTCATGAAGCATATAGCTGTTGAATGAGGTTGATAAGGGTTTGTGGCACTAAAACCGAGGTGTTGAAGTAGCTGCCTGACAAATTATTTCTCGGTCAACGCTATCGAAGACCTTTTCAAAGTCGATGAAGTTGAGGTTGAGTTGAGTTGACAGTCATTCTATGCCTCGTTCTATGATGATGCGTGGTGTAGTGTTGCAATTTGATCCGCACATGATTTGTTCTTCCACAAGCCAGTCAGTCAGTCAGTCTGATCCGGTGGCAATTTTGAATTCAGAGCATTGTTTAGTCTCTCTGCAGGATGATGCGGCCTAATATCTTGGTTGCTTTGAGTGGACTGGGACGGGAGGATGATTCCGCGCCAGTTCTTGCGAAGACTGATGTCGCCCACGCTTGTTTTGGAGTTTGACAAGGTAGCTCTTCTTCCAATCAGCAGGCAACTTTCCTTCCTTCCTACCAAACCTTCTACAGTGGAAGTGGTATGGGCATGTCCACTGGTGTCTCTGCGTTTGTTTTCAGTGCTTCTGGAGAAATTCCATCTGGTCCTGTTGTTTCCCCTGATTGCAGCAGTTTTATGGCATTCAGGACTTAAATTCTGCATTTGTCGGAGGGTTTGTGTTCACTGATAGTTCTGTGGCTGCACTGCTGGTGGTATTTGTGGACTAGTTGCAGGTGCTGGTGGTGATGGTGGTGGTGGTCGACTCAAGAGATTTTTGAAGTGGTCAGCCCATCGTCTTCTTTGTTTCTCCTCTCTGGTGGTAATCAGGTTCCCTTCGCTATCTCTGATTGACTTCTTCTGAGTTGATCTCTTCCCTCCCAGATAGTAAGTAACCTGGTTATTTGATATGAAGTTGTCTGGTCTGTGTCTCTCCTACCAGCAGCCTGTTGTGCTTCACTTGCCAGTGTGTCGTAGAAGTGTCTTTTGTCTTTGCGCGTACTCTTCTTCCCTTCTTTGTCTGGTGTAGTGATTTATAGGTTGTGTTCAGTTGCTCTATTTGTTGTTCATCCGTAAACTGTACTATACTGATTTATCCTCTGCTTCACCACCATGTATTACAAAAAAATACGGAATAATGTTAATGATAATTTATTCACTCATACAAACAATTTCTTCGAAATTCATTTTTTGAATAGTGATATTTGTATCTACTTATGTCGATAATGTAATGTATGATGGTGGATTCCACAGTTTAGCAAATTTTCACTAGTTCAAGCAGTGTGGACACGTATGGAAGGCACTGTTGTAATTGTTTCTTAGTATTGTATTCTTCTTTTTCCCCTGCCACCCGTTTCCTTTCAAGCTCTCCATAATACATGAATAAAATGTTCCAAATGAAGTACACTTCAAGGTGTTACTTGTTGTAATAATTGACAGTATAAAAGGTCTAAGTGACTTTGAAATAGGGGAGAATGTTTGCAGCTCACAGAATCCACGATTAAACAACTCAGTCCAGAGAACCCAATACAATCAAGATCTAAGTAACTGTTCAACTATATGGTTCATTATCATTTTTTTGTAGGTACAAAGTTCTGTTACATCTGTTCCGATCATAATCAATTCTTTGATACTTCGGCATTAAGTTACGACAATAAAAACTCCTAAATGGAAGTATCTGAATTTAATCAATCATATATTGTACCACTTTAAACATAGAAAACCAAGGGGAGTAAACCAACATTGAAATATTTGTTATTCATCATGGACTGACATCAATTAGCGAAATACTGAAACCTGGGAGCACCGGACAACTGTTTTGCCCTGATATGGGACTCCTCATCAGTATGCATCCCTGACCCCGCCGCGCAATTTGAAGGTCTTGAGTACCGGAGCTACCAGGTTTCCGGTGTTTCGACAACTGATTTCGGTCCATGACGAACACCAACTTGATATATATATATATATATATATATATATATATATATATATATATATATACTTGTCTTCCATGAAGGAAGACGTGAAGAGAAGTGGGGATCCAGAGAATATCTGTCATAAGATAAAATATTTCTAGCCAGATGTCTATCCACAACCTCATTTATGAGCATGGTTAGTGGTGTACCACTTGCTCTACTAACAACCTTCAAGATCCTACGCAATAAAACGTAGACTTTTATCCGCAGTTTAGGAAAGAATAAGAGGGGAAAATAAATGAGTATAGGTCAAACATAGGAATTAATGAAACGTAAGAGTAGAGGCTGAGTTATGCAAGACACTCTGAGTTTCCTTAAGTAGATCATAGCGGAT